TGTGTAGCGTGGCAGTTGTCGCTCGCACGATTGCCTACGATACGACACATTCGATTGACTTTACTTTGTATCTAGGGGCGCGATAACTGGATGCTCGTTCCTAATTTTCCTTAACCCTCCAAATGCGTTTCGTAGAACATCCTAACCATCTGCTACTTCCTTAAGCGTTCCTAGGGTAGGTTCCCCTCCAATATTAGAGTACCGTCCTGGAGTGAAAATCCTCCCTCACTCCAAATTTCGGACCTTCTAATTGAAAAACACGGTCTCCAGATATCAATCTTACATTCCTCACGCAGTACTGGAGGCGTCAAGTACTTTGCTAGGCCCCACCTATCTTATCACGGCAAACAAAAAGGTCATTCGAACACTCGCACCTTTCGCAGTCATTTTCTTGGGTGCGTCATCCTTACCCCACCTTGGGCGTCAAGCATAACAGGACGGAATTAATCGTCTCGTGAATGTGTTACACAGTAACCCGAAGGCACACTTTCTGCTTTCTTAGTCCGCCTGCCGCCCCGCGAGCGAGCGCGCACACTCCGGCCGAAGGCGGCGCTTGCCTCTGGTTTACAACTGAATCTTGATCGATACCGCAGGCCGCGTAGTCACCCGGCCGGCGGACTGAGCCAGGCGCCTATAAACACCCGTCACATATACGACGACGGAGAGGTACTCCGGGTGAAGTCACATGTACGACCCAGCGGAAGGGTACTCCGGATGAAACGCACGGGGGTGGATAGTGGGGCACTAGGGGTTTCCTGTAGTATCACACGTTCACGAGGCGCTAAGATCCCTCCAATTTGGGCGTACTGCCCACAGGGTTATGGGTACATATGTGCGTCTAAGAATGCGCGCGGCGAAGTTCGTGGCGATTCGGACGGCTCTGGCGCCTATTATTGGGGCACAAACTCGAAGTAGAGTAGTTAAGTAGGGTCAGCCGATCCTACTGTTCGACTCTACTTCAAATTCGGGCCCCAATGATAAGCGCTAATCCCGGTCAAATAGCCACAAACTGCGCCGCGCAACTTGTCGCGCATCCTCTGACGCACGTAAGTTCCGTCCCCCGACCCATTGCAGCATGTCTGCCGTTTCTCCTTGTGTGCAATATTGCGTAAGAAACACTAATATAAAGCGCGTCAGCTATATGTGGATCCAATCCGGTTTAGTGTTAGTGTAACTCTACCTTTCACGGTTATAATGGAGCGCCATTCTATCTACCGCTTTTGCTGCTATTTTGACTGTTTTCTAGCCGGAGTGATATCCTATGTGCATCTCCTGGGGAGTCCCTCTACTTCGTACAATTCCTTTCGCCGAGCGTTTGTTCATCTTCTATCCTTCCTAGGTTCGTGATTGGTTTTTCGTTTTTCGTTTGCAGTGTGCATACGGACGCAGATTTTGTCATAGTATTCATATACTGACCTATTGTCCCATATTTTTCGTCCTGTTGCAAAATGGAGCGGATTTCGATGAGCCACGTGTTACTGAACACGTGATCCATTCCATCACTTCCAACAGAATAAAACCGTGCTATCAGGCGTTGATACAATATTTAGAGCAATGTTCTGTTAGGTGTTGTCCGATCGCTAACGTTTCAATCAGCAATCAATTTGGCTCTTCTGTCGCAGCCTTTCTGTCCATTTGCTCTACAGGCAATTCACAGATGCTTGCATTTTAGGCTGTTAGAAGTTTATGGTGGCATGGCCGATGCCTCGGCTGCTCACCTCATTAGACGGAGTTATTCTAGCCATTGTAACCGTCATTGGTTACTTAGTTGTAGCTGCTACCTGTGAAGAGGACGGTTTTATCACAGACGAATTCGTCGACTCTCAACACTTAGAATCAGTAGGTTCCAAAATTTTTCGAGGATTTTTTTGTTTATTCTTATTTATGGGTATTTGCTACCTGGAACTACATCCAGAAAAATTAACCGATAAGTTTTGTGCGTAGCTGTCTAGTTCTCCACCACAACTATCTAGCTTTTGCCAGCTAATTGATGTGAGACTAGGCTACAACGTTCAACATGGTTCGATTTTGGCTCTCCAACTCTTGTACACACATTTTTAGAGTTCTAACCAAATCACCTTCATGTATCAGGGATGTGGAACACGTGGATCTTTCTAGGTCGACTTTTTTGGAGTTAACCCTGATTGAATGGGCTATGGCATAGGTGAAAAGGCTTTCCAATGCTATCAATAGCAAAAATCAATAGGTGCCATCCTATACGTTCTAATTCAAATTGCATCCTTGCCTAATTTCGATTTGGTTCTTTCCATATTGAAGCTACCTTTTCAAATGATAAATGAATACCAGAAGTACCTATGAGAGGTGCCCCTTGTCGTTATTTATCGTATATGTATGGTGTTATCAAGGGGTTATATCGACCGACGGCTTATCAGCCGCTTTTTTTTAAATCATTTCCGATGAAAGTAGATGTAGTGACCAAGTAAGACAGAGTTGTAGTGGGAATTGAACCAAAGCGGTCTGTCTGCTCGTTCTTCATATATCAGCGCGATAATGTGGCCAGGATAATTAAAACATAGTAGATACTCGCTGTCTTATTGAGTACGTTTATAGGAAATATACTGCGGTTTCTACTTGGGTGACCGTAATCAAAAGTTGTTGAAAGCAAAAGCTAAAGTCTTGTGGCGGCGTGAGATGCGTCTTTGCATTCGGCTTCCATTCAGAATCGTAGTGGTGTATTGAATGCGTGTGTGACTTATTGAATGATTTTCGGTCGCCAGCCGATATGCAAGCCAGCGCTCTTGCCCCTCCCAGTTGAGTCTCGTGCTCATTATCCGTCCTGAGAGGTTGTACGAGGCTGGGATGTTTTGAGGGAGATTCAGGACGCGATTCCCCTGCCACGCGTGTGATAGTGTGCACCAGAGCTCCCTCATCATACAATAGTGTATGGTACTAATAATAATAAACCTGTTTTGTCTTCTGGTTTGTTATTCGTAAAACTTTTGAGATATAAACCGTCCCGTATAAAAACGTATCTACCTCCTAGATCTGGTACAGGGTTGTGACGTTTTGCAGCTGTAGATGGTAAAACGATCGGAAAGCTTCAGGAAATATGATCTCAGTATTTCTATTTTCTTCCATTTCTCATTTTCGGGATATTCCTCTTTTCCTCTCCTCCACCGACAGTAATTACTATCGGGAGTTTTGTCTTAATCGCAAAATTCAGTCTTTTGCAGAGCCACTGGAGTCTGGTCTTTCCGAACATCATTGAAAAACTAGGTAGTTGCTAAGCAAAACCGTATAGCTGCCGCGTAAAATTCGTGTGTTAGTTTTCCGGATTAGTTTGGGTGACACTTTCTGGATTTTGGTTTTGCTGAAACCGCTGATCTTCAGCTATATTGCTAGAATCGATTGATTCTTGCTCATGAAATTCTCAATGTTTTAAAAATCAAAGATCTGATCTTTTGCAGCTCAAATTAGCCGTGAAAATTGAAAGCTTGTTCAAGACATTATTTGCATTCCTTACATGGCATTTTGCTCGATTTTGGCTTCCTCTAATTTCAAGTCTTCGTTTTTGTTACTGCGATTCCTCTGTGGAGGATCCTTGTTTTCCTACAAACCTGTCGAAAACGTCCAAAAGGACATACTTTTCAGTGGATCTCGTCGACATCGCTTTTTGTGATCGTGCCCTGGTACGAGGAGTTCCGCTCGAATTTAGCTTATTAGCATTAAATCCGGGCAGACGGATATGCCAACTGTAGAGTATTATAGTATGAAACACTCAAAGCACGGTAGTTGTTTATTTTGCTGTCTATTTCATTTTTCAGGTCCCATTAACTCCAGAGCATGCACTTAGTGAAGCTAGCCCATGCTGTAGGAATCCCTCTTTAGAGAATGCCAACTACCTTTATGTGAGTTTGTTGTGTATGCTTAGCTCATGCCATTCAGAGATGTTTCACATGCCAACTATTTCGTAGATTTTTCATGAAATAAGCGGATTGCTTGCGCATCGTTACACGTCAAGTTTACTAGAGTATCTTCCCAAGCGGTTTTTATACTAGCTTATGTTTCAACGTAATAGAATGATGAGCTCCAGTTTTCATTAGTGAAAGATTCAAGTTGTCCACTTCTGATGATGTCTCTGAACGATTTTGAGCGAAAACGAGTTAAATGCAGGCATTTAAGTATGTACAGTTGATTATGGTTATTTTCTGCTACTTCTAAAAGGGAACTCATTCGAAGAAGTGTCCATTCTTTCATAGCCGTAAGATGAATAATGGCGAATGTGAGCTAACCATGCCTTCACAATTTACGATGTAATCTATTATCCAGGTTGTTGATCGGTTATGGCCAGTTTTCTACTCACAGGTCTCAACTATGGATGGACGGTTACATGCACTCGACGCCATCAACGGTGGCAGAGTAGTTTGGGTGGCTGACTTTGATGCTGAGGCGCTTTTATGTGGAACGCTTGGCAAAGTGCAGGTGTGCCGCTATCGAGTCTTGGGAATAAGGCATTTTCCTACCTGACATGACTCTTCAGCATTACAAGACCATCACGTTTCAATGTAGAGATTGTGCTTATGTTTGCAGTGCTTCTGCGAGAGTTACACACACTCTTCGACATAATGAACAAAGGCAGGGGACCTCTTTCTTCTGGAGATGCCACGTTGCTGGGCTTTTCAAGTGCATGCTCATTTTCAAGTATCCGACTCTACCTTTTAAAGGAATAGCGCTAACTAAATCAATATCATCTCAAATAGCCATCAGCTGATGACAACAATGCTATACTTTAAAGTAGTTTTATAGATGTATGTTCCCTAAAATTCCATAGATAAGAGCGGGTGAACCTACCGGTGAAAAATGAATTGGAAAAAATCGAAATTGAACGCAGTCACCCCTCTAACTTGATGGATGGATAAATTAAACTTCGNCGAAGTTTAATTTATCCATCCATCAAGTTAGAGGATGACTGCATGCAATTTCAATTTCATTCCAATTCATTTTTCACCGGTAGTGTCAACCGCTCTTATCTACGGAATTTTAGGGTAGTAGGGTCTGAGCAAGGCTTCTTTTCTATAGTCAGTAGTTGCATATGAATCAATCAACTACCAGGTTAAATAGTAGCTGATGACCTCTCTTCATGTGCTGAATTTCACCTGAAGTATTGTGATATTCAGTGGGAAGAGTGAAATGGCCTAACTGTTCAGCCGGCTGGCGTTGAGTGTCCTTTCAAACACGGGATCCAAAATATCAAACAATTACGTCGCTTCTGTAAATGTTGTTTTATAACACAGATTAGTAAAAATTCAGAAAAAGAATGACCAAAAGGATCCTTTTTTACATCTTACACGAATTTCAGTTTCATGACTACGAATTCTATATGATGATAAAACTCTCAACCGAGGACCATGAAAATTTTACGTTGAAAAACTGGTTTCCTTGGAGTTTCATTTTCTCATCATTCCTAGTAAGATGAGGTTAATTACGGTTGAGATCACTTCGCACCTCTTCACGAAGTAATCTCAGTCGTAACTAACGACCCACACCCTCACAGATTTAGTGAGCGCAGGCTGTTGCCCTGAGTTTTCGTGCGTGGTTCGTCGCTCAAACGTAGAAGAAGTCAGTATTTTCTGAGCTTATGTTGGTCGAAGATGAGAAATGTATTGTGCACACCAACGAATAACAGGAATGCTCGTGTACTAATCGCATCGGACTGCCACTGAACACTCCAAAAGCCGAAATCCATCCTCTGAAGACTGTGCCCTGTTGCTAATAAGACGGGAAAGGAATTACCTATCGAGAGCTGTTGCTGCACGCCGAAAGATCACTGCTCAAAGATACTACAGGGTGCGCCAAAATTACTTGCTCAAATATCCACCGCTGTAAAATCAGTTAAACGATAGATTGAGGACTAACTTTCCTACAAAATTTTATTTATATTGAGCCAGTACACATACTCAATTCAGATCTCGAAACTCCCTCCACAGGCTCGGTTACGGCCCTCAGACGTAAGGGGAAGGAGTCCACTGTGGCGCGAAGGTACTCCAAAGATATTTCTTCCCATGCTCTGAGCAGGTCCCTCTTCAATGAATCAATTGAGTGGTGTTGCTTAGAGCAGGCCTTGCTCTCCAATAGCGACTATACGGAATAATNCATTGGATCAAGATCAAGGCTATTAGAGGACCATTCCTGAGCGTTGATAAATCCTGGGAGGGTGTTCCGGCACCATCCTCGTTCTATGAGACGGTGCTGAATCTTGCTGGAACACCAACGGTCTACAGCGGAAGTGATATTTTGTCCACGGAAGCAAGACGTTCTTCAGCAGGCTCTTCAAGTAGACTTCCGTCTTGATTTTAACATCGTTGTGGATGAAAACCAGCGGGGACTTCGCTTCGTAGGTGATCGCTGCCCAAACCATGATTTTTTCTGCATATCCAGAGCGTCCATCGATTCTTCCCCTTTTGTTAGCCTCTTCAGCTGTCGAGTAGAGCACTCGACCGATTTGACGGTTGAAGGTCGATTCCAACATAAACAGCTTTTCATCGGAGAAGACAATGTCTCGGTGGCGCGCCGACGCGAACCGTTGGAGGACCATCTTGCATATCTGGATCCGGTTTCTTCATAGATGCAGTTAGAAGGTGCACCTTCGGCATCGATAAGGTGTCAATCCCAGCTTCTCTTCAAACTGAACGGTGGGCGGAATTATGACTTTTTCCCAGCTTTTTGGCAATCTTACTCATGGATCTCTTCGGATTGCGTCGCACAATATCACGTACAACTTTAACATTTCTAGTGGATGTTGCAGCTCTTTTTCTTCCCCTTCCTGGGTGGTCTTCTGTAGTATCGAGCTCCTCGAATCGTTTGTTGGTGAAGTCCACAGTTCTTCTGCTGATTGGTAGAACTTGCGATGGTTTTGGAACAGCGACCCATCTGGTGTGACTGAATGATAGCGGGTCTGAGAGGATGAGGTCCAACCATTTTGGAAAGAGTAAGAGCTGAGGATTGAAGCTTGTGCTAATGATCAAGGAAGAAGTGCTTAACATGTTCACGGCTAATCGAGAGATCATCGCTGCATTATATCAATAGGTCGAGCTCTGCAACTTTGAGCAGGTAATTTTGGCGCATCCTGTATATTCAGCTGGACAATTTGGCGGCAGGGCTAGAACAAAGCTTCCAAAACTGACCAGTCGTAGGGTGTGGCCTATCATCAGGGCAACGCTAGACGTATCTTTGGCCACCACTACGGGAATTTCGATGGGACTTGCATCGTATAGTACGGATGTAGCACAATTAGACTGTTATTTATTCAGGTATCTGTGGAGGTCTTTTTATGGGAAATCCTTTGATCAGCAAAATGCACCTAGAACCGTCTTTTTTTATTCTATTGGCGCACTATTTTGAAGCAAATTGCGATATCTCGTGAACGGATTTGCTCCTGTATATAACGAATTTACATGTATTTGTATAACGATTATCTGAACCATATGTTTTCGTGCACATGAGTGGTTGTCGTAATGACCATCCGTTCTAGCCAATGAAAGTTGATGGCCGTCTGTTCAACCTCATTCCTGCTTTGGACGGTACCCTTTACATGTACTCACGTGATGAACACCTTCTAGAGCCAATACCTCTGGACACGGATCTTCTCCTACAGGTATTTTATCACAATTCATCGTTACTTTGAGAATTGTGTTCTGATTTTACCGGTAATTTTTTGCTCTGTTCATCCGAGGATAATTGTGGGGATAGGGTCTTAATAGGTGCAATTTATCTGTGATTACATCGAAAATTGCTGAAAATATTAAGTTTTTGTGACAAAGACATAATTTGCAAATAAACACCGTTGAACTATCCTTTAATCTAGGCGTCGATTCGTGTTGGTCATGACGCAGTGGCTGGAGGGCGTACAATATCCACTACAGGAGTGGATCCTTTAACTGGGGAGGTACTTTAATTTTCGTTCTTGTTGTTACTTTCCATAATTTTGTTTACGGAGCGGAACATTTTTTCTGTTTTGAAAAGGTGCGTTACCACTGTTCTTCTTCACATTGCGATTCCGTTGTAAATGAGCCTGTAACATCCACTCTTGTTTTTCGTCGAAGTACTAGTAAAGTTCGTGCTGTTGACGCGTTAACTGGTCACGAAAGGTGAGTAAGTGCTTTGGAACTTTTATGTTAGCCTATTATAGCATCTTTGTTCCATATAAAGATCTCTTTGAAGTATATAAATACTATAGGTGGAACTTATCCGTGTCGGAATATGATGCGACGTTGGTAACGGTGAACCGTGGCAAACTTTATCCCAGAGGTGCCAGGTATATGAGTTGAAATATCTTTTCTCAATCTCTTGCTTATCTCTTTAGTGGTTTCTAGAATTCGATATCTTGTGCAGCCTCCAGACGGAATCGTAACAGCTTATGATAATTGTGGAAATGAGTTGTGGTCTCGCCAGCTAAATAGTCACATAGCGCATACTTGGAAGTTAGAGGGCGGAGAGCTGAGCGAGGTGAGGTCTGCCGTGACCATTTATTTATATGTGATTAGACGAGATTCTTCAGGTTTCTCTTTTCAACACGAAGAATATACACACCTTGTCAATAACGGACGAGCTTCAGGGGTCCAATGCGGGTGCAAAAACCGGATCGGAATCGTTGTTCTACCTAGGTTTGTGATCACATTTTTTAAATTAGCTGCATAGTGTTGCACAAGCCTTCTATTCTTCCTTCGTGTGCCATTGACGGTCTTACTTGCCCTTGTTATGCTTTGTGTTGCCGAATTTTCTTATTTTCATAGTTTGAAACCACTTCTAGGTACTGTAGGTGATGAGCCTTTTATCATGCATTCCGCACTGGTAAAAAAAGAAATGGTGAAAATAGCAAAAAATATGGACTATGGTGAGCCAAATCTTCCTTCATCAAGTGGACAGCTCGCTCGTTCGGAAACATCGTATTTTATTGAGAAGGGTACCGTGGGTGAGCATCATTTTTGAAATATTTCAAAATGCTGCTATCTCTGAGCTTCATTCGAATTTGTTTTTCATGTGCTTTGTAACACAAATGTAATAAAGTGGAGTAACAAGAGCTTCGAAAGGATAAAAAACAAATTTTTGAAATAATTCATTCTTGAGAGATCCATAACAAATTTTTGAAATAATTCATTCTTGAGAGATCCATCATAGTGTAACTATACCAAGTGCAGCTCATGTAAGGCTAAAGAGTGAAGAGCGTAATAAGCGCTTTGGGCATGATCAAGCCACTACTGTTTCTTTCGGTTTCCAATCAATCCAAGTTCCAATCAAAATTCAGAGCAAATAAATGAGAAATCTTCAAACAATCTTTGTCACCTCTTGGTACCATCTATACTTGAGCTTTATGATTCATAGTTAACAGATGATCTGCTGTCGGCATCGTATAAGCGCTCATTCATTGCACAACAAGCGAAGAGAAACAGAAAGCAAGTTGCGAGCGGAGAATCGCATGAACTTCAAGTGGTTGCTTCTGAAAAAGGTGCGTGATATGTTTCAGCATTAACCGCTTATGCTGCAAGAGCGGAATATCACCTTTTTAAAGGTTCGCGAACTTATACTTACTTTTTTATTGGCCAATGCATTCGGTTTTTTTATTTCCTTTGGAATTCTTCGTGTCTACTTTTCCGGAGTTTCTTTTCGAGCACACATTCGGTATTTTTCAAGTGCAGTCATCTATTCTTTTCTTGCTGAAAGTGGTAATTTAGGAAGAGATGCATATGCGGTATCATGTCCTAATAGTGAAGGGACGGCATTGATTGGTGAAAAAGACATCAGAAGTGCTGCATTCGATGACCCGGAGAATGGTTGGTTCCATTCGCTTCTTCATTGATGGAGAACTAGAAAAGGTGTCTGGATCGTGGTATGGCCTGATTGGTTTGCGTTTTTACTTGAAGTGAGTAGTTGACCTTGAACGACTTCGAGCAGATTCGAAACCTAAAAATCGTGAATACTTATGTCTGCAATTGAGCCTTTTTCAGAACATGCCTTAGCGTTCCGCATGTTTCTTATCGTTCATGCGTAATAAAAAATTAGGTGTAGATTACAATCGATAATTCCAGACTCTTTCTCGTCATCCCTTCTTTTCATCTATTCACGACTTGACGGTTGAGTGCACGCTCACTATTACATTTTTATTTCATGGTACGAAAATAAGCTACGAAGTTTTCACTGATTGTCGCTCTATGGAGATGCTATATAAGCGACCAGTGATAAACACCACATCACGGTTACCATGTCATTGGAGTTTTAGCGAGGCGTAGAGAATATTGCAGGCGGGCTCAAGACAAACGTAAACAGCGAAACAAATATATTCATACCTCATGAAATTTTTTCTAAGGTAACCAGGGATGGTTCGTACTTCGCCCAACAGGAAAAACTAAACGAACTGCGTTCTTTGATGATTTATTGGATCCCAGTCAATGCCCTGCGAATATCGTAGAACGTGTGAGCAGGACGCTCAGGGTCGATAACATGGTGTCTGGATGGTGGTATGGTCTGAGTCACTTGTTGACTGCCTTTTCCACGTTTGCAGTTTTTTTTAAAGGAGAGTTGTGGCTCTAGCGATGCTTGGCCTTCTTGGATCTGCCACAGTGATTTTACACGCTCTACTGAGCCGACGAAGAAAATCGCAAGCTGCGCTCGTTGATTTTTCATCGAGTTCCAATACGTCCTCTTTTAATGCCATAAAGACGGTTTGTTTTTCAAAAATCATTGATGCAACCAATTCTCATAACCTGTTGTTTTTCTGAATTTGTCTTAAAATACCTGTTTCTGGCTTCAGTAGTATCTCTGTTCCTAAACCCTTTCCAGTCCAAAAGAGCAGAAACCCGTTCAACGTCAGCTGGGCCATCTATGGGCTCAATGCTGTCAAACACACCAACTCCAGCTGATCAGGTCACCCGTCAGCGCAGGACAACTTCTAGTCGGGAGAGCGGCTGTGAGCCATTCCTCAGCAAGTTAGTAAATTATGAGCAACTGTGAATTTCATTGTAAGCTCACTCAAAAAAGCTGAGGTTTCGCAATTCAGATTCCTTCAAGATTTCGAGCCAGTCAAGTTGCTCGGACACGGAGGCTTCGGTGTGGTTTTCGAAGCAAGGAATCGGCTTGATGAGTGCCCCTATGCCGTGAAGCGAATAGCTGTTGCAAATAAGTTAGTGGTTGTTGTTTGTTTGTTCAAGCTTTTTTCTGCATGTCTGTGCGTTTGCTTGCATCACTGTGGTTTACACAAGTTTAGCGAAAACGCTATCCAGCGAGTTTTGCGTGAAGTTCGGGCTATGGCGAAGCTGGATCATCCTGGTATAATCCGCTACTACCACACGTGGATCGAAAGACCCCCTGATGGTTGGCAGGTAGTTTCTCTTCTCGAGTATCCGAGTACAGATGAGCACTTGTGGGCAAGAAGTATCGAAGCTTAGGCGTAAGATTTGGGAGACTGCGGGACGTTCGCGATGAAGTCAGCTTTCCAGAGAACTTGTGGCTGAATTTACCAATGTTAAGGAGGAAGAAGACTGCATCATGTTAAAAGGAATGCAATCACGTTTCAAGAGAAAAGTTCGGGAAGATGGAGCGGCTGTCGAGAGCTCATCATTTTCGTCAGCAGTTGTTCCACTTCGTGTTTCAGAAAGCAGCCTGCGCTCGTCAGTTGAGTAAGTGTCCTTGGTGATTACAATGCAATTTAAAATTATCATCAGAGTTATTGGCGCAATTTGTTTGCTTTTCGGAGGTCTTGCTGGGTTTCTTGAATGTTCGAGGCTTTGTAGCTTTTCATTGGTATACGTTTTAATGGGGTTTGCCAGCTTCCTTTGCCACAACGCCATGCTACAAAATAAATCCTTACTATATATAAAGCGTTAGCGTCTTCGGTATGTCTCGCCGTCCGTCACGAAATTCAATTCACCTGAAGAAGCACTTGCAGAAGTCGAGTCGAGTGTGGGATGGGGCGGGCATAGGGCAAGACCAAAAAGGCACATGTGAGCTCAGCCAAGCTCCGCGCTTAGGAGGAGCATGCGCAGGAGTGGGCGTTGTCACTCCTATGTGTGCTCCGCCTCCTGTGGGCGATGTCGTGGGCAAAACTTCTTATTTAGGTTCCTAACCGCCCAGATCAGGATAAAGGATGAAGTTCTTGGCGTTGATCAATCCCGTCTGAGGGGTGCGCCCCTGCACTCGACTTCCATTTAGAATCGTAGTGGCGTAATGAATGCGTGTATGGCCTATATAATGACTTGCGGTAGCCAACCATGTACAAGTCAGAGCTTTTATCCTCCTAAACGAGTCTGGTACTAATTAACCGACCCTGGAGGGATGGTAGGCTTGGTTGGGCGGATATCGATCCTGGAGTCGAACCTCTGATCGTGCGTGTGATATAGTGCGCCACTTGCCACTACACCACCTCTGCCCAGATGCGGGGAAGGAACTACAGGGTGGGCCAAAATTATGATTACAGCGCGCGCTGGCGTTCATTGCAAATTTTTTCTATGTTCATAACAATTCATTGAATTTCTTCCATTTCACAAAGTAGCTGACGTTATTACCTTCCTAATGATACTAAACATTTGGTAGATTTTTAACATAATATAAGCGTAACTAGTCCGTGAATTAAACGTCGCTTTGCATTTACAAACACTTTTGGCACGGTGCATCTACAGACGAACTCGCGAAACAAGGCAAGTATTGCATTCAACCATAAGACGCTCTCGAGAGTCGGGAACAATTGCAGATAGGAGTGGTGAACTTAGGAGAGCTGTGGTTATATTTAGGGGAAGTGTTAAGGAAGCAGGGCAAAGGTCTACGTAGGAGCAAAATTTATCTGAGTCCAAAAAGGATAAATGAATGGATATGTCACGAAATTTTCTGCGCGAAATCGTGGAGCATCACCTGCACAACGAGACCCTTATACGATCAGAAAGTGATTTCTCCAGATAGCAGGTTAAAGAGAAAAGAAAAGTTGGGTAACAAAAGCTGCCTGTCGCATCAGAAAAAATTGTCCTACGGAATTCCTGTTCACCGACGAAAAGAGAATCACAGTGAAATAGGTGCTCAATAAGTAGAACGATAACATTTATATGAAGCTTAAAGAAATGAAAGTGATACANCGCCTGGCTCACTAACTTTCTGTGATGGCCTGTACCAGCAGCACCGCCGAGGCAAAGACACCGATTATTCTTGTAAATTATGGAGTGAAAGTTGGTTTGGAGGCCTGTTTGATCTTTTCGTGCGCAATAGGACACTTTGGTGATTCGAACCGGTCATATTGTCAAGATGAAGCTCCTGATCGCAGAACAGAAATTGTCTAGAAATTTCGTGAAAGAGGTTCTTTGAGTTCATAACCTTCGATCAGTGACCACTCTGGAGCCCTGACCTAAATCCCATGAATGTCTCAATGTGGTCAACCTCTGAGACGAAAGCATCCTTTAGCCCAAACAACAGAAGAAATAATCTTGAAAATGCTTAGCAAAAAGTCGGGACCATTTCGATGATCCTAGCTGCGTGCCACCGTCAATGCCGTCCATCGTCGTCTTTGGGGTTGGGTGAAAGCACAAAGCAACAGAACCCAGTTTCAATGTACAGTTTTGATAAGAAATTTGTGATAAACCCTTTAATGAAATTGGTCTGCTCTATTGGCTTTCTATTCGTTTTTTGCGATGTGATTTCTGTGTAATCATAATTTTGGCCCACCCTGTACAGTACAGTATAGTGAGGAATGATCAATAAGAAAGAAACTCATTAGTGGAGGAGGGAGCTTACTCACATTGGGGGTATTTGACGCATAAGTTCATAACTCAACGAAACGCTGGAGGCCAGAAAAAATAAAACGACTGTACAAGACTTCATGAGTGCTGGGCGTGAAAAACAACTAAATGCAGCGGACTTACGCCCACGGTGGGCGGTGCGTGCACTCATATGTTCAGTTCTTAAAAAATAGTAACTCTGTCCAAAAATAGTGGGAAATAGCGGTTAGATGCTATACTACTATACATAACGCGCTAAGTGGGTGTTGTGTTGTGTGTGTATGTGTGTGTGTTTGATCGGAAAGACATAAATTCGGTTCCCGTGGACCTAGAGAGTTCGAATTCAGTGGGAGAGCAGGAGGCAAGATAGAAATGCTGATGATAGGTGGCAGGACTTAGCTCCGTGCACAAGGAGCGAGGCTTGCGTAAACACGTCATCGGACCTAAACCGCTAAGATTTGGTAGGAGTTCAGGGGGGAAAATGGAAACACTAATGATATGTGGCGCGACTGAACTCTGCCCACAAGGAACGGGGCGTGGGGAAGAACATTCAATTTGAACCGGCTGAACCTCGATTGAGTCATCATTTTTAAAGAGTACACCAACAGATCAAGACCTTAATTATAGGCATAGGCATCGGCACATACTGGATACACATTTACGCGTGTCAGTCCTCTTTCATGTTTCGTGTTCCGAAAGTATTTATTCTAAAGAAGGAGGGGCGATTTGCCTATCATTACAACTCGATCCTGAGAAGGAGGAAGTCCGGAGTTAGCCGAGCGACCCGATTGGTAAAAGAAACGCGGTCGAGTGCTTGAATTGGGCGGGGCAACTGTCCAAAAACGTTCTAGAATGTGGAGAAAATTGTTGGGGGCAGCGAAAAGAAGTTGCACAAGCTTTTAGTGGGAAGGGTCTGTAATGTGATGGACGGAGCTATGACCAACAACTAATAACTCTGCTCAAATGAAATATATCGAGCGGATTTCCTCAAAGCGTTCCTAGCGTTCAAATCTAGAGACTAACTATCTCATTCCTATACATCGAACATTTCGCCGAATGACTCCACCGCAAATGAGCTGTTGTTGACGACAGTCCCAAGCGTGTATAGCCCAACTGGTGGTTAAATATATAATAAAGTAGTCTTCTTGAAACCTCGGTACTTGTTCAAAAGGTAATCAATGTTTCTGTGCGATACAGTTTTCCCAATGGTGGAAAATTTATTGTGTCTGAGGTTTCGACGGTCCGTCGTTCTCTAAGGCCCAGAACCGTTTGAAGACCTCAGGGCGCTACGTATCACGCTTGAAGCGAACAAACTCTTAACTGTTCCAACTCATACCAACGATTTTAACCTCAAAGTCATAAACTGCATTACTTTTTTACTGTGTTTGCCTTGCGGTACAACCAAGCTATTCAATCGTATACTAACTGAGTAGGAATCCCAACAAGTCAATCTTGTCAGCTGCACCATTAACGAACGGTTGCTCAAGACGGAGACGATTAGAGCAAGTGAAACCGCCGGTCATCTGCTACCCAGTAATAGTTCGTGATGACGCAACTAATCTCGTAGACCAAAATCGTGAATTTAGCGTCAAAATCACAGTCAGCATTACTTTTCTACTGTGTTTGCCAAGCGGAGCAACCAAGCTATTCAGTCGTTTACGAGCGAAATGTTCCCTTACATGAAGGAACCAGGTAGACCACGACCCGATGCGCACAGTCTCCTACGGTTCCACATGATTAGTCAAATATCTATGATACAAATCCGGTAATGGAGACGATTTCTAAGCAGCTGGTGTTCAGTGTTGTCTCTTGATGTTTCAACCAGTTGGACGTCATTGGCTAGGTCCGCTCTTTTGAGGCTTTCTTGGTTGAAGATTAAACTTATTTATTCATGGGAAAGGCCTTGGTCTGCTTCGCGTTCTGTGCTGATGCGCTATGTATCCTGTGTCTGTTAAGATTAGCTATTCACTGGGCTAATCTTCTAAGCTCTTCCCGCTGCTCGTTGTCACTGCATACCTTTACAGCCCTTTTTTGCCCATATGTTTCGTAATACTGCACGTTTAACAGCTAAGGTGCTCCGACGTTGCGTGAATGATCATGTCAAAGAGCTTCCTTTTTTACACCACTTCACTTTTTTTTCTGTTAACTCATCTGAGATTCAGAAAGACAACAATCCTTCGCAGTGACTTCTAATGTTAGCTTGATGTTTTGAGATTGGCTGTTGAAGATGTTAAACAACTCAACAATTCCTGGTTGAGTTGAAGTTGTGACGAAACATTAGTCAATGTAACGACAGTAAATTATGGGCAAGTATGCTAGCACTACACGTTCGATTCTTCTCATAAAGCTGACAGCAAGGACCGGTGCCAACCGCTATTCCATCGCAAGCCCTATTATCGTGAAAAGAATTAGGTTGATGCATAATTGCTGCGGATTTTTTTAGCAAGTTTTACTGTTAAGGAAAGCAGAAAGATTGTTTTTATTGAATCCTGGATTCAATTCTCGAATTGTATTGATAGAAAAGAAGCCGCTAAAGAATCCGCAGTAATTATGCGTCAGCCTAATATCTTACGGTCAATTAAGCATATTGCAGTTCAGGCACTTTTCGATGAGAGTCAGTATTTGTGCTTTGCTCAATCCAAACACCACACTTCTTGCGTGCACATCAAGTTCCTCTGAAACTGTTTGCAAGTCTCCGTTGCACTTAACATTGGCGTAGAGTGCAGACACGTCAAGTGACTCCACAATGCCGTTCGGTAGAAAACTGCAAGAACGTAAGCGATCTATGAGTGGTCTCGTATTTGACAGATGTGATGTTTTATGGATATGAAATTGACCCATAATTGTATTCCAAAACCACGAAATGCGATCGGTCGCTCCATCATCACAGCTGTTTGTAGGATAGGTTTCGCAAATGCCTGACGAGCGCGCGAAAAAATGAGGTGACGTTTGGATTGAGCAACGCGCAATTAATGACTTTTATGAAGGAGTGCTTGAACTGCAATATATTCAAGTGGTTCGTAAGATACTACTCTCAGGTGAGGGGGTTGCGATGGAACAGCGGTTGGCACCGGCTCCTGCTGTGTGTGCTTTATGAGTAAACCAGTGAGCTACGCACGCTCATGCGTGTACCACATGTCCACAACCGCTCATCTACGATCTTACTCGAGAAAAGCAGTAGAACATTTTCATGTTCCGTATAGACGACACTGCTTCACCCAAAATCCCCCTTGAGTTTCATTTCTGGAAATCGCGCATTAGAGTCAAGCACTCAAGGGCAAAATATCCTTTCAAGAGCGTAGCTGTCATTACATTTATATTGAAAATGTCGTATTGTAAGAAATTGCGCATCGGGGCTGAGGTGCAGAAAAGCACTGACTTCTACATCCCCAGCGCAAATTATTGCATAGGCCACATACGCATTCAATACGCCACTATGATTCTTAATGGAAGTCGAATACGTGGGGTCCTTGTGACGGGATTGATTAACGCCCCAAAACATTATTTAACTGCACATCAGAGATGTAATGGAAAACAGCAGTGTTCGATGATGCCTGATACCAGCAGTTGCCCATGTAAAACGTTTCCTACCCTACATTCTCTGTTCTCTAAAAAACTGGTTAGCCTGTGATCTACTTCCCCACCGCGCTCCTGTGAACTTCACGCTTTTGATCGTGCCTGCGTGACTTTAGGAAGGACACACAAACGGGTATACAAACAGACACGCAAAATTAGCCCTTCATATATCCTTACTATATATAAAGCGCTCTGTCTGTCTGTCTGTCTGTCTGTTTGTTTGTTTGTTTGTTTGTACGGAAATTCGATATAACCTGAAAAAACACCTGGAGAAGTCGGGCCAAGTTTGGAATGGGTTGAGCGTAGGGTAAGTGCAACAGAGCACATGTGAGCCTAGCGGAGCTCCGCCCGCAAGAGGCGGGGCATGCGCCGGAATTGGGCGGGGTCATGAGCCAATTCATCTCTTTCGGTCTCATTACGGTCCAGACGCCGGGAAAAAATGTGCAAAGGTGAGGGATGGGTCAACAACTAAAATGAAAGAAACTCACCGGCGGTGGGCGGAGCGTTCTCGCAATGGGCGGTACTTTCCACAGAGATTCGTAATTTGATTCAACGAAGGCGTCGAGGCCAGCAAAAAAAGTTAAAAGAGTGAGCAAGGCTTTATGCGTGCTGGGCATGCGTAAGCTTAGCGAAGCCCCGCCCACGGTGGGCGGGGCGTGCATTGAGGTGAGAGCTACTTTTCAAAAATGAGTGTAACTTCGTTCGGAAAAGTTATAGAATGCGGAAAAAAGTGGTTAGAGGCAATGGGATAAATGTGGTCAAATCCCAAAAGTGGGCGGGGTTGGCACCAAAGTGGGCAGGGCTTACATCGAAAATTCATAACTCTATTCAGAAACGTTCTGGGATGCGGCAGAAAGGTGTTAAAGTGTAAAAGAACAAATGTGGCCAAATCCCGAAAGTGGGCGGGGTCGGCACCAAAGTGGGCGGGGCTTAGATCAAAAATTCATAATTCTGTTCAGAAACGTTCTAGAAAGGGGGAAAAAAGTGGTTAAAGGTAAAGGAACAAGTGTGGCCAAACCTTCGAAGTGGGCGGGGCTGGCATCAAAGTGGGCGGGAATTAGATTGAAATTTCATAACTCTGTTCAGAAACGTTCTAGAAAGCGGGAAAAAAGTGGTAAGAGGAATTGGAACAAATGTAGTTGAGTCCTCGAAGGGAGCGAAGCTGGCACATGGAAGTGGGGCTAGCACCAAAAATTCATCTCTTCAAAAACTTTCTGGAATGCGGAAAAAATGGTTTGCAGCAGTCAAAAGAAGGGTGGTCAAGTTTACTGTGGAAAGGGTTTGCACTAAGGTGGGCGGAGATATGATCAACCACTAATAACTGTGCTCAAATATATCGAGCGTGATGCTATCAGCAGTGCAGCGTTCGAATCTAGAGAAAACTATCTTATTCTGATCATCCAACATTCCGCTGAATGACTCCATCGTGAATAAGTGGCCGTCGACATGTACTGCGCGCGAGTAGCGTGCATAGCCAAACTGGTATATATATTTACTGTCGCTACATCGGCATGACTTCAACTCAATCAGAAATGGATGGGTTGTTTAACTATGTTAACGCCCAATCGCAGTACCTTAAACTAACTCAAGAAAAAAAACTAACTCAAGAAATACCGAAGAAGATCTAGCCAATGACGTCTTATTGGCTAATCTACCAGGAGACAACATTAACCCACTGCGTACCGCGTGCTGCACATGGTGCAGCACGCCCCTTTGCCTTTGCGCGCCCGCGTTTTCGTCCAAAATCACTCCAAAATTTGCATATAGTTTCAACAGCCCATACTTTACGATCGCTCAAACGAGCGCTCTGTGAGGCTGCATGCTGCACACTGTAAACCACGTCGCCGCGCCGACTATGAAGAAAACGCTGGCCACATGCGGCAGCTAACGCAAAAACACTGCGGTACGCAATGGGTTAAACGCTAGTTAGCTCAAAATGTCTATATAACGGGATCCGTGTCATAGATAACTGTGTGATCTGTCTGTGTGTAAATGTAGGAGACTGAGCACATGGTGCTGTGGTCTTCCAGCTTCAGTGTTTGACATGTGATGCTGCCATACTGTAGGAACTGGGAGATAATTATGCGTTCACGTAAGAAAATATTTCGCAAGCGAATGAATGAATAGCTTGGTTGCACCGCTTGGCAAGCACAGAGGGAACGCTCTGAATTTGACGTTCAATGCGCAATTTTGGCCCGCGAAAATAGTATTGATGTTAGGAAAACCTCAGAGGCTTTTGGGTGAGACACCGAAATCCAAGCATGAACAACAAGGATGAGAGCATCAACATAAATGGTGACCTATTGCCTTACATCCCAGTGTGTGTGCTTTGATAGCGAAACTGATGTGCATGGTTGACCGGACGATCTCACTTGCTCAATCATCTCCGTCTTGAGCAACGGTTCAGGGCTGGTGGAATGGACAAAGTTACTTATTGGGATTCCTACTTAGTTGGAGGTTCGTTAACATGCTGGCGTCAGTGTCCACGAGTAGCCACGAATCTTGGGCAATTTGAATATTGCTAGAAGATTTGCAAAATATTCTCTTGTACCGTTTGTTTTCAAATGTTTTGACCGCAATCACTCATTTTTTTGAGAAATAACAACTTTCTAGGGGAGAAACTGTCTCGTCCCACGGGACAGACACGAAAAAAATGGCTCGTCGTCAACTTGTTAATATGAGTTGCAACAGTTAAGAATTTGTTCAAGCGTGTTACGTAGCGCCCCGGAGCCTCGAAACGCTCCCAGACCTTTGAGAACGACGAACTTGTTAAACGTCAAGCATAATAAATTTTCAACCATTAAAAAATGTGTTCAGCGCGAAAGCATTGATTACTGTCTGATGAATAACGAATTTTTCACTATAGGTAAGCTGAGACATCTCTACTAGCCTCTTAATGTTTCAAACAAGCCTCCAGTGTGGTCCGCGAAGTATTTTGGCATCATTTAGCTTTACCCATTAATGTTATTGAACTACCCAGTTCCTTTACGAATACTTTATTACATCCATTAAGTGGTGTCGTGGCTCCATCCTTCAACGAACGTAGTTGTGACGGATCATGGCTTGATGATGCAAGCGGAAGCAGAGCTGAACAGGAAGAATCATCTTCAGACAGCGAGGAACATTTCACAAAAGGTTTGTGGCATATAATTTCTGTTCTCGGCTTTACCAATCACAAAAATCTGATTTGATGCAAAAATTGATTTTGTATGAACTGTTCCTATACAGTGAGCAAATTAAGTTGTTTCATGAGGATCTAATTGAACAGAATTCTCCAAATGGAGGTTCAGGTGGTGATCAAATGGAGAAATGTGAGGAAGATTCCGATAGTATCGTATTTGGAAATGGAGAAGCCGGTGATTGCAGCAGTTCCCTCGTTGCAAACTCCAATGAACTATCGAAAATCGGTAAAAAGGTGCATGCCGATATTCAGTGCTTACAGTTAATGTGGAAAGATGAGAAACAGTTAACCGTTCTGCATCGATTTGATTGAATTTCAGATAAAAATTTTGCAATTACAATTGCCCAATACAATAATTGCGTATTTCTCTTGTTTTTATCTGTGTGTTTATAATATGCTGACAACATTTGTTCTCTTCATCCTCTCCATTTTGTTACTTGCGTTTGATTACATTTGGTTACAGATGGTGCTGGTTACGTCGACCGATGAAGATCTATTGCCAAGCTCAAACACTAGTAATTTTGTTTATATTTACATCCAGATGCAGGTGGGTGAAAGACTTCGCCCATATGACAAGTCTCATTTCACGATGATTTTCTAAAGTTGACTTGCCATATTTCTTAGAAGTCAGTATTACCTGCTGAATAATGTGGTGTTAGTATCCATTAAATGGCTTAAGACGTTAATGCAAAGTTTGAAAACTTCAGGTTTTAGATTGTTGTGAATTTAGCTATGTCAAGAGCAGACCCTTCATGCTTGGTTATCCAAACATCGGTCTTGGGAGGACCGAACAGTGTGTACAATGAAAGTGTGGATGGCTCAGTTGTGCAGCGCAGTGAGCTACATTCATCAGCAGGGCTTGATCCATCGGGATATCAAGGTAAGCTTTCAACGTTTCCCATGTTGGTTGTTTATTTTATCGTTTCATCCGTTCACTAGATTGGGTAAATATAATTGCAATCACTGCGCGATTCATTCTCTCATGAATACCGTACGTATCGAAGTACATTAGTATAATACGTTCATTGAAGATGCGAATTATTGCAAGGAAGGTTCGTTTTGGGGCTTTTATTCATCTGTAATCACAGATTAATCACATTTATAGGTCGAGAATGTTCCATTTATTTGAATGGTCACATGAGTACATAACTTGTTATTTCAAAACAAGATGCATTAATAAATTATTGTGATATTACTCAATAAATGGATATTTCTATTGACTTGATTGTTTGCTGCATTGTGTTGTTTTGCCTGTTCATTCAAAAAACCCCTAAGGTTTCGAGAGTTCTCAGAACATTTCCTTAAATTATTTGTATAACATCATCTCCGTCAAGTCTGATTGTTTCGATGTTATATTTTTATGTTGTTGGCACTGGTTTGCAGAGTATGTCAATCTAATGCATCAACTTCAGCAATGAGGGGGTTTATCTCATGGAATGGCTTATGTGTAAAAAGTAAATTGGCTTGTCGCCTTTCGAATGCAAATTCTTTGAATTTGAAAGCGGTGGTCTTTGGCACTGTTGCTAGGAAAGAAACTGCACGCTTCCTTCGAACATCAACATCGAATTTTAATATATGCATATATAATAATGTATATACTTGTTACATTTTCGAAAACAAAATAAACTAATTTGATTTCTATTACCAGAAAACAAAATGGGGTATACAGTAATGATGAGGTCGATTGATAGAAATTTTTTTTTGTAAAGGCTCAAAAATCGAAATCACCTGATAGCAACCTAATTCAGGTTTTAACTTGCTATTGCTGATATTTGGTATTTGGTCCTAATTCGCTCGGAGACGAATTTCTTCAAAACTCAGATTACACCGATTTCGTAGTGTGAGTAAACCCAGTCACAATTATATTGTGTTTGCAGCCGCAAAACATTTTCTTCGCTTCTGATCAGGCGCTGAAAGTTGGCGACCTGGGACTGGTCACTAGATGTGTACCGGCCGAGGATCAACCCATCGAAAAGAGTGTTTCCCGATCAGCTCTTCATACGGATAATGTGGGAACGAGGGGCTACATGAGCCCCGAGCAGGTACGATTGGAACGGCAGTCAGGCATTGAAAGTCATTTAACATCGACTTCATCGTTGCAAATTTCAGTTGGCTAATAAACCGTACACTTTCAAAGTAGATGTGTTTTCGATGGGATTGATCTATTGTGAATTAGTGATACCGTTTCAAACGCTTATGGAACGTAGCCTCACTCTAAATGACTTACAGCATGGTCGAATGCCAGACGCCCTGAAAGTAATGCAGGAAAATGAGGTGATTTTCTGAGATTCATTCCTTGTAAAGAAGTGCCGACTAGGTTCTTCGTTAGAAAGAATAAATCTTATTAGTGAATAACTCTTCAGCAATATCTTGGCTGATTGTGTGTGCGTGTTTTTTTTTTGGGAATGTGGTGCCTTACTGTGGACTCGCCCCGCTGACTATTCATCAGTTTGCTAATAGTCGAATTCATTATATTGGAAACAGTGTTCTATAGAAATGTGATCATTATGTACAACGATATCTACGTTGGAATAGGGATTACCATGCTTGTAATGGATGGCCTTGTGTTAAGTTGTTTATCGTCCAAACTCAGCTCATTTTGTCGGAAGTCGTCTATGGTAATCCTTTCTGACAAATGGTTAACCCAGCTAAGCCCTCTCCTCTTTAGGCATACTTTGTTCTAAGCATATGATGGTCGTTTCTGAAATTCATGCTTTATCAACAGGATCTCCAGTCTGTGATTTCTAGTCTAATGAAGGTTACTATACAGTATGCTTCTTAGAAGATTGCGTGTGATTAAGAATAACGATGTGAAATGCTACAAATAAACTCAGAGCGTGAAATTAAGGATCAGCAAGTGATGGGAAAGTCATTTGAAACTTTCAGAAGGACTTCATCGCCTGGTTGACCAGTATGGATCCAGACAAGCGTCCGACGTGCGATGAAATTTTGGATTCGGACTATATGAGCGCAGTGGAAACCCATTTGATGTTGGGTAATCGTACACCAGGCATCAGACGTCGTATAAAAAGTGATGCTTCTCTGCTGAAGACTTCAATCTAATGTTTCAAACAGGTGTGCTGCCGTATGGCACTCCTCTTTTATAGAATATCCACTAATTTTGGAGTTTTGATGTAGCCCCTTTGTATAAAATAGGTTTTTCTAAACCAACGAAGAAGTTTCTTTCGTCATTTTTGACTCAACTCATGTAAGATTCTTGTCAATAAGTTCGTGAGTATTGTAACATGTTTGACCATCAATAGCTAAGAAATTGTCATATACGATGATGGGTCCTTGATGTGATCTTTTTAAGTTCTCCTGAATTCTTCCTCTTACTGTATATTGTGTAAATAGCCATCTGCGGCGGGATTCCAACCTAGGGCTTTTGAAATAAATGATTTATTCGAGTCTATATTGTTTACGAGCTCTGCGCAAGCTAAATGACTTGCTTAAAGGCACAGTTAACGATACTTCAGTGGGCGGGAACGTCAATGGCGCCTCTCGATCGATGTCACGTCATCAGAGCTACTTTTGCTGTTGCTAGGGTTTTTTTTTTGTTTACTTAAGTGAATGGATTTTTGCTTATCATTGTCTGTTATTCGTACCAGGACCCACACGTACGCAGTGAGACACATTGTATAGCTCGTCCAAACGCCCCACTCCTCATTTTTCTGGTCTCATTCTCGTCCAGTCCCCTTTTTTACGGTTTTTCGAAGCCTTTTTTCGCTTTGGAAGCACCGATTCACGCAGTTTCTCCACCTTCATCGCACTATTTTCGACCTTGCCTTCCATTTTTCATCAGAATCTGGATTAACCAAAATTATCGTAAACTATGCCTTCAATGTGGCAAGACTTTACTGAGCTACTGTGACTCTCAAAAAAGAAATGCGACATTATCAATCTATTATTTCGCTTATCGAATCATGTTGTAAACAGCTCCGTCAAGAGTGTGCCAAAATGTGTAGTGAATATTAGAAATTGCTTGTACACTAGATTGGTAGGGCCTTCAGTCAGAACTCAATGGGCGCAAACGAGGCTTGGGAAATAATCATACGAAATTGGTGTGCTCGCGCATAACAGTGATGCAAGTTTTTCAGAAGTCGTAGAAAATGTGTGATATGATTGAAACGTCCTTCGATTTTTAAACCAAAAAGTTTGATAAATTGTTTTGTAAGCAAGAAGAGTGTCAAAATTGAGAGCCTGCGTTTGTGAACATGAAGGGCGTACGTAAATAATCTAAGTGGATGCCGTGTAAGAATGATCCGGATGAAATCACTAATCAAGATGGAATACTACCAGGCTTTCAAAATAGTGACAAGCCAGCAGTTGCCTCTCTAACAAATAAAGCAATCTTGTGTAGTCCTTGTAAAGACTTAGCATAGTGTTTCTATTTTTTCTGAAGCAGGCAACGGCAGCAACAGAAACGACTCTTATTTCCTCATAGATGTTTGCCGATTACGAGTAGTAAGTATATTGTTATCCCTTCTACTATATGATATCCATGGTAGCGAATGTCATGCTATTCTGATGTGATAAAAATTTGTAGAATCAATCTCTAATTGACTGTTATAGTCACACAAAAATGTTAACTTACTTCCCTATCCACGCTGAAACGATCCAAACCAAAAAAATTCCAGACCTCAATGTAAAGCTACGCTACCTGTGTAATTCCACATTGGCATCTGGTGTCTGGCGCCCTCGAGGTACCCACTGGAAATCTGTAAACCAATTATAATATCTCTCATTTCTCTATAGCTGGGAGATCTCGATCGAATGACTCCAGTAATTGGACCTCTGGTTGTGTATAGCCATAGCTACTAGTATACCTTACAACAAAGTAAATATAATAAGGGTAGTACAAATTACGAAAACTCAGAAATGTTACCGCAGCCGATCTACACGGGAGACGGAACATTCGTGCGATTTGGATTGCGCGCTTCATATTGCACGGCGGAACTCGTGGCCATTCGAAGGATTTTGACGCCTATTATTGGGGGACAAACTTTGAGTGAAGTAGATTAGTAGGATCAGCTAACCACTCTAAACTATTCTACTTCAAGTTTATGCCTCAATAATAGGCGCCAGAATCGTTTGAATCGCCACGACTTCCCCAGCACAAATTGCCGCGCGCGGTCCGAATCGTACGAATGTACCCATACTCGATCTACACAGGTCGCAGTGACCAATGGTCTTTGGAGCATTATTATACTCACTTGAGCAGATTACCGAGTATGTGTACGAACGTGCGTGCGCGTGGCAAATTGCGCGGCGAAGTTCGTGACGATTTGGACGAATTTAACGTCTGTTATTGGGGTCCAAATTTGAAGTAGAGTAGATTAGTAGGATCAGCTGACCATACTAATCTACTCTATATCAAATTTAGGCACCAATGATGGGCGCCAAAGTCGTTCAAATCATTACGA